CAGTCTCCACACATCGCTTTTAATTTTAATATTTGATTTATATTAAAATTATTTAATTTTACTATACTATAAAAGTAGTTTAGGTGTGAGCATGCCCTTGACTTGTTTTCCTTCTACGTAATTGTTATATGATCCCGCTGCCTTGAGCACAGCCTTAGGCTGTCTTGCTCATCTGCTTTCTTATCGATGTAGTATAAAACTTTCCCTTTTAGGTAATTAATAGCTATAAAAATTCCAGGGTAGTCTATTTCTAGTGCATAGTGTGAGCCTCACACTATGCTCCTAATGGTGTTCCTCATCTCTCCATGATGGCATGTAAAGAAGAATGCAGATGGTAAATTTTGCCTTAAATAGTGAGATTGTACTCTCCGTTTTGTGTACCACCTGTATGAGTATGTGTACTGTGTTTTCCATTTCCTCGTGGCTTCTCTGGTGGGTTCTGTGTCTGTTATTTGCATCAGACCTGGAATTGCTTTTGAGAGGCAGAAATAATATATGATTCTTTTTATATTTATAATTGTAAGTAAAGGACAAATAACTGTATTTTCTTCATCGAGCCATTGTGATGGGACCAAGCATGCCAGCCATGTCTGATGCTTCGTTTGCGCTCACTGCCCAACTATACAGGAATGAAGCAAAATCTTTGCAAACACAGGTATTATTTGACTTCTGCAGCAATGTTGAGTTGGTTTTCATTTGCTATCATTTCAAAATGATGATTATGACCCACTTCCTGAGACTGCCACTAGTGAGTGTCAGATCTTCATACTTGCTCTCATGATGCTGTCGTACATCATCTTGACACTGTCCTTTTCTAAGGTTATAGATCAGAAACTACATCTGTAAATATTATTTACCTGCCTGTTGTGGTTAATCTCAGCAGGTATCTGAGCCACACAGTCATTTGCTCATTCTCCCCTAGTGGGATGGGTAAGAGAATCAGAAGGGTGAAAGTGGGAAAACTGATGGGCTGAGAGCAGGCTTTCTAATGTGCCCACCCTAGGCTGCAGATAAGTGCCTAATGTTACTTGCAAGATGATCTAAATGCTTAATTCAAAATAATTTTCAATACTAGCATTTGAGTAGACATAATGCCTTGCATGCATTGAAAAAGTCCATCGTGATAGAATGTATTTTATTACGAAAGAAGTTTAATTTTCCTTACACTTATACACTAGAGGTTTATCACTTGTGTAAAGTGCTCTGTGTAACATCGGCTTTTTGTTTTTACACTTTGGAACAGCTGCAGTTTAATAGAAATGTTCCTGCAGTTCCAGAGAACTTGGCTCTCAGATTCTCTAATCCTTGTCCAATTATAATAGAAAAATTGAAGGTGTCCAGTGATGAGAGAAATCTAGCTGGAAGTGAGGCCCCCAGCATAAGAAGCTCTGGCATGTTTTCAGTGGTATCTGAAGAGAGACTAAAGTTGGCTATTCAGCTAGCTAAAAGGGACTTAAAGCGAAGACATCTTGAAGAGCAGGTGAAAGAGGAAGTGTTTGGAGATGCTGCCAATAAACCATTGGTGGCTCAAAAATTACCACAGCAGAAGACTGAAGTATTTGAAAGTCCAGAAAATAAAAATGCACTGTCTCAAAAGTCTCATACTTACTCAAAATACCAGCAGAAACTCAGTAAGCCTTCCAAAGTGGAGACTACCACCTCTGGTGCTAAAGTTTATGTCTACACACCGAATGAGGGAAAGCCAATACCAGCTGTTTTGGACTGTCCACCCACCCATGACATGCAGCTGGACCCCAAGCGAAACATAAGCAAACAAGAAGATAATAATATGCAGGAAGTTCGACGGCTGCAAAAGGAATTGAGCAGCTGTGTCCAGAAAATTGAAGAACTGGCTAAAAAAGGTGTGAGACTGAACAATAGTGATGCTATATAAATGTACAGTACTTTGATTTGGTTTTCTTTCCTTTTTTTTGGCTTGGATTAGAATCCATATTTAGTTCTGGATTTTTGAGAACCATGGACTTTTTTCAAAAGCCAGAATGGCTAGCCAGTTTAAGCAATAGCAGAATTTAATGTCTCTGAGTGTTTGTGGCAAGTTCCAATCCAACCCACAGTGACAGTGAATTCGTGGTAGGCTATTTAATAATGTGGGTGGAAAAATACTGATGTCTGTATGCCTACTGGCTAGATATTCAGACTGCAAAAAAGGATATCAAAATTAACCACATTCTTATCAGTGATGAAAAGGGGGCGACAGCTGGTTAATTTTCACTTCACAAGTCTGACTCACCTAATTTATGGCTGTGCAGTAGCACGATTAATGTGTTTTCTTGCAATGTGTTGTGGGCTAACCCTGGTCAGCAGTGAAGTGCTACACGCTAGTGCTTGTTTCTCCCCTGCCCCAATGGGACAGGGGAGAGAATAGAAAGATTAAAAGCAAGAAAACGTTAGTTGAGATAGTTTAGTGAGGAAAGAGGAAGAAGAAAGAAAAAAACAAAACAAGCTATTACCTCCTGCAAGTAGACCCAATGCCTGTTAGCATTTGATACCTTCTCTCCAAAAGAATAATTTTTTTTCTGATTGCTTAGCATGGCGTGGAATATCCCTTTGAGCAGCTGGGGTCAGCCCTCCTGCTGTGCCACCTCCCAGCTTCCTGCACACCCCGAGTCTAGAAACTGGCAGGGCACAGTTGACACAAGAGAAAGCGACAGTGCTGTACAAGTGCTGCCAGAGCACTGGTGTGTCTCAGGGTCATCAATCCAAACCAGCACCATACTGGTGACTGTGAAGAAAACTAACTCTGTCCCAGCCAGCCCCAGTGTACACAGCATTGGTGCTTTTGTGGTAACTAGGCAGAGGTTTAACCATTCCTAACCTGGAGTGCTTCACCTGCAACTTTGTCCTAAAACTATGGGGTCATATGCGATTTTGTAAGATATAACTAATAAACTATATTTTATAACACTGTTTAGTAAAATTCTAATTAGAAACATGAAGTAGAGTTGAAGGTACTGGCTTGCATTACTGCTTCAGGGAGCCCTACAAAATACGTGATACCTCCTGTATTGGTTCTGTGTGAAAGAGGCTTATTGCTAAATTACGTTTGTTGTTATGGCTTGTGAAAAATTGTGATTTTTCACATGTTAAATTGAGACACAAAACTTAACATTTCATGCTTTTCAGGGAAAGATAGAGAAATATTAGATCCTGATGAAGAGCAACGAGCTTGCACTAGGAGACAGAAGCAAGCTGCACGATCAGCTCGGATGCTGTATGTACTCCAGCAACAGGTAGGGACCACCATTTTAAATGGGGAGCTACAGTAGCTAGTTTATTGTGATTTGACAGGAATGAAGTGAAAGAAGACAAATTTGATCGGGTTATCTCTGGATTTGTATGGCATTCTAGTTTAGGTTTGAATGCTGTGACTAATTTCTCTCATGAGATGAGCATCACTGCTGGGAAATTTGGACTTTCACTTAGACATTACAGTATTAATTGTTCATTTATAGACATGGAGCTAATTCTGACTGACTTTCCCTTCTCCACCCTCCTTTCCTGATAAACAGGTAAAAGAAATTCATGGTGATCTAGAGAAACTGAGTCCTCATAAAATCAGACATACTAAAAAGGTAAGGTGTAATTATCCTTCAGGCTGTAACTCACTGACAGAAGGTTTTCTGCCTGATTGAGTTTGATTATCTAGGGTACACCTGAGTCCTCTCCAGAAAAGACGTTTTCTTTGTGTCTTGCATCTTTTAGCTCATTCTCACACAAGTATGTCTCACTGGGTCTGGTACTGCATTTGCTGCTTTCCTTTTCTCTTCAGTTCTTATCTCTCTACAATAAACTGGAGAGGAAGGCTGTTGGTTTTCTGCTTTTATGTGGCTTCTGAATTCCTTCTGCATTCCACTTCCTTTCCTGAATCACACTGTGTTCTACTCTTGGCTACATTTTTAACTTCCTCTTGATGTCACTCAGTCTTATCAGCTGCCTTTCTGACTTTCTTCTCTGCCCAGCATCTTTCAGAAAGGTAGTACTAAGAGCATGCATACTGCTTTGCCCCTGTTGTCCCATCATTCTCTTTTCCATTGCTTGTATTTTCTTCCGTAATGAAAACTGGAGGATGGAGAATGTTCTGTATTTGTGCAATTATTGCACGCTACTGTCAAGCCCATGATTACAGTACTCTGTTGGCATAGGTAGTAGAAACATCAGAATATGTTATAACCAGCTTATTTCATCTGAAGTAGCACGACACTTGATATAAGTGCTGTTGCCTAGTACCTTTAGTAGATTGCTTAAATGCTCATAGGTGGCCTCATATCCATCAGAGTTAACCCAAGCCTGAGTATTTATCCCTGAAATTTTGGCAACGAGTCTCTGAATAGTCTCAGTATTCATAGAAACTATACCTGTTAAAGCATTTATTTTTCATTTTTCCAGTCTCGAGCAGTATCCAGATTGGCAGCAGCACACAGAGGAGCTGTACGAGCCTTGCAGGCATTTGCCAGCCACTTTACAGAGCAAACAGAGCAGCAGGTTCCTACATACTACAAGGAACTGGGTAGTCTCATTCGACAACTGTCTCTCTGTTCTGCCAAACTAGAAGGGGATTCTTCCATTTCTGACATTATCATAGATATTTTGCTGCAAGTTGAGGTAGGAAAAAGCATTTTGTTTTTGCAAAAGCAGAAAAGATGTAGTAAAATGTGAGACTGCACTATAATGTGTGCTCATGAAATGGCAGAATATGTTACTGTTGTGGGGTTTGTTTGTTTGTTTGTTTGTTTGTTTGTTTTAAGGCCATTTTTTCTAATCTATAGATGTGTATCTAATGTTCCTAAGTAATGGTGGTCTAAACCAGAGTTTTATCCTATAACACAGAAGCTACCTGCTGCTGTTCTTGTTGATACTGTTCCTGTCTTTATTTGCTCTCCTGGTAGAATGAAGGCTGGTAGTGACAGTGGTAACAAAGCACCAGTTTCTGATTTGTTTGCATTTTCAGGATTGAAAGAACTGCATTTTATACATTGGTGTAAGTTACGTATTTATTGTTTTGCAATGTATGCTTTAGTCTTCAGCATTAGAGATGAGCATCTGAGCCTTGCACATGGTGGTGGATGCAGAATTGTCCAGCCAGAAGAAATTGGAATAGATGATGTCTAGGGTCCCTTCCAACCTAAGTCATTCTATGAAGATATGAAGGAGCTCCTGCATGAACAAGCTATCAGGAATAATCACTACCACAAAAACCAAACCACACCAAAAAAGTTCCGACTACTTAGTACCTCTGGGATTTGCTTCTTGTTATTACGTCAGGGTTCCTGAGAGAGTCATTAAAATTCTAAATATTTGTTGCAGGATCTGGAGTCACTGCTGGAAAAGAGACAAACACCCAAAAAAGTGAAGAAATGCATTTCAGTATCTCAGGGCAAATCTCCAAGGAACACTGAGACATTTCCAGACCAAAAGCAGCTTACATCTCCAAAACGAGAAAACAAACCTCTCTTCTTACAGAGACAGCAGGGACAAAAACTTAGTAAACCTCCAGCTGCCAAGAATCTCTTGACTGGTTTGTATTTTGAATTATTAAATACATTTTTATCAGTTAACTTATCATCTGCAGTTCAGTTTTGTAGTATGTTACATATTGCTGGTCAGAAGTGTGTAACAGCTCATATGTAGTAATTGGATTCATATAGCCTTGTTATGCATTTTTTTTGCAGCTGTTCACCTGAGATGACAGACCTGCAGGTTTATATGCCTTTTTATAACTTTATTATTATTCTCATCATCCTGTTCTTCCTACTTTTTTTCTGTTTCTTTTACTGTGGACTACACTTGGGTTGTTTTTCTGCAGTATACATCTGAATGGCAGTTTGCAAGTTGATTTTAATGGTGCATATGGAATATTTCTAAATATCTACCTAGATAAAATGGTATAAATATATTATTATGTTGGAATGCAAACTGTTAGCAAATCTCCAATAAAGCTATCATTTGTTTAACTGTTTACAGTGAAAAGATTTACTGAAGCTTTGGCTCAGAATTTCCTTGGTTTGTGCAGTTTCTCTACTTTTGAGAGGGGTGGCTATGTTTTAAGCATGCCAGTTCATTAATATTAATGTCTTCTGCACAGTAATCACAATTTCAGTACCTAGAGACATGTTAACTGATAGTTAAGCTGAAGGTTATTCTTTTTTCACTACTAGCTTGCCATGGAACCATGGAGAATTAGTTTACTTCATTGTTTTACTTCATATATAAAAGGAAATGGGCTTTATTCTTTCTCAAGATATTATGAAATAAATTTACTATCTGAAGTTTTTTAACACCTCATGAAAGACATTACAGCTTATTTTCATGATTATATAACCTATATTAACTGTTTTTCTTCTTTGGGCTGTGTTTCTCATACCTCATACAGCTTTTTACTGGAATAGTAAGCATTCCTTTCTACCCCTAGGTAAGGCCAAGGAGAATTCTCTGAGATGAATTCGTCTTTGGCAGTCCATAGAGACAGTATATTGTCAAGCAAGCATCTAATGGTTTCCACATGTCTTGCTGCCTAAAGAAGAATGTTTTGTATCACTGCTTAGACCTCATATGGCCATTATTAACCAGAAGGCTTTCACATGATTTTTCATATACATGTGTATTTTCAAATATCTATATGCATATTTATATGTATATGCAGAGAAAACCCAAATCTCCTGTTCATTGAAACAATGTAAAAAAGACAATTAAGTTAATACTTGTCAGGAAGTACAGGAGGTTTTTTTTCTTCTTCACCCCCTTATGGTAGAGTTTAAAAGTTCATGATTATGTATAACAGTTAGCGTAACAGTAGTATCAAATGAAGAAATAAAGATTCTTGCCCCTTTTAACTTACAGTTCAAAGTTTCTTTATTATTTTTGATACAGATAAACATTGACATGTTGCAAATATTTTAGCAGTTCGGAAGGCAAACAGTTGTGCTCATGTATTGCACGATAAATTCCGAGAAGAAAAGGTCCCACCTGCTCCAGAGAGAAGTGCCGCTTTACAAGGAGGTATCGAGGCCCTGGTGAGAGGCAGAGCTGTCAAAAAAGATCCCGTCCTTGAAAGTGGCCCTTTGAAGAAGAAGGGTGTGTTATTATCTGCAAAATCACAGGTATGGAAGTGATAAAAGAATTTATGCTTTCTTCTACTTGTCCTCTGGGGTTTATTATATAATGTAAGATGCTGTCAAGCTTTGCACTTCCTCATAATTTTTTATTCTGAGCTAGGAGGCATAGGGGGATAAAATATGTCATCTATGTTATTTCTAGTGGTTATGACTATTTTATCAAATTTTTTTCAAAGTACTGGTACTGCTCCTTGAAAATGCACTATACAAGTAGAAACAATGAATTAGCAACAGAATTAGCAAGGAAAACTTTCACTGAAACTAGTTTCATGTTTTAAATCAGCACGATGATGATACTTCAATTTGAAATTAAAGCTGAAATGTTTTCCTCTTACTGGTCATCCTCTGTCCTGAGAAATGCACTCAGCAGTAATGTTGTGCTAATGCTTATGTTAGTAGGAAGATATAAACTAGGCAGTTTTAATTCTTTGATTAGAGAAATTATAAAACTTCACAACACAGATTCTGGTTTCTGCTAAGTCTTTCCTGTGACCAGCAAGAGGTTTCTGTAATGCAAACAAATGAGTTACTTGAATATTTCAAAGTGCTAAATTTTGCAGAAAGTTGAGGGGTTCTTATTAAATGTCGGGTTTTTCCTTCCTCAGAGTATCACCTTCAGCTTGAAAAATCAGATTTGATACAGTCATATAGATGTATGTGTTTGTAACCTACTGATTCACATGTCTATCTACAGTGAGGACTGTGAGCAGCAAGGTTCAGCATTTCAGTAATTCATACTGAGGAGACAAGTCTGTGTTCTTGCAGCAAATACAAATATGGTGATACTCTTGTTTCACGTCTGAATAAAATGTTACCATGGAAACCTTATTTTTGATTTATTGGGAGTTAACACAGAGTCTAATTCTGAACATTTCAGAATTTTTTCCCCATGAAGAGCAACACTGGAAAAATTTGAACTATCTGCAAAAATAATAGTTGCAGGATTAAGTATATGTTCTGTTCAGGTACAGTTGTACTTCTCCTTAAATCAGTTGTAAAACGTCCACATATGTCAGTTGTGCAACAACGGCAGCAGGCATGACTTCCAAGACAAATTGTGTACCAGAATGCAAAATACTTCAAAAATCAACAATTGGAATATATGGTTTTAATGTGATTGTGTTCATTCTAAGGGAAAGCTGAAATCTCTAAAATCAAGACGGGTGCAGCCTCAAGGAAAGCATGCCCAATTTCAAGATACAATGGTAGCTTTCCAGCTAAAAGAGAACAAACAACTTGTTAAGGAGCGCAAAATACCCCACACGCCTCCAAACCCTGCACCTCCACCTGCTTCACCTCAGCGGTACGTTCCTAGTCCAGAGGAACCCACCTTTACCCTGCTCTCCTGTGGAAGTGCTGCTGTAGCTGTACTGGTCGGTAGGGTGGATTTGGGCTGGCTATCAGACCTTGAAGGCAAGTGGCATAGCACAGTTCTTTTCCTACTTGGCACGAAGTGTCCTCATTTGTAGAGCCTCGGGGAGCCATTGCCTTGTCCTTTTTCCTGGATCCAGGAGTATTGTCTGGGAGCTGCAGTGCTAGGCAGGGCCCTGACAGAACACGTAGCATGCAGAGTTGATATTCACAGCACTGCAATAAGAAGGTAAATAGTATCCCCCTGTTCTGGAAGGCCAAAGCGTGTATCTCTGTCCTAGCCAGTAATAGAGTGCATGTTTGTTTATTTTGAACTATATTTAGTATCCTGTAGACCAGGGCTCCACATATTTGGTTTGCTTTGGGACTGCTGTTTATGGCAGTTGAAGCAGGATATCTAACTGCTCATCCAGCTGCTGGATCTGTGCTAGGCAGAGTGCATGGTAGGAGCTTGTCTCTCCGGGCAGCATTTGTGGATAGCCATGAAATTGCCTGTTTGTCAGTAGCAGAAACATAATTGAAGTTCCCTGATTCTCAACAATTTTCTGGCCTATGTGGCCTTAAAGTCAGTATTAATTTTCTCTCTCAAAACTTTTTTGCAGTTTTCTAAACTAATACAATCATGTGATTTCATTCTTCAGTTGTTAGAATGTTCATTTGTAACCCTCTGTTACTTTTTTATTTTTGAGGACTAGCATGGCTTGAAGCAGAATCTTCAAGAATAATGAAGGCTCTAACTTACCTTAGTATAGGAGAAATGAAAAAAAAAAAGTACAGAAGTTAAGGTGTTGACTGACTTTGAAGCACTAAGAAATAGTGTCAGATCTGATATGGTCTTCTCACTCTCACCAGTTCCCTAAAAAGTATATTAGTCTGTTTGGGTTTTTTAAATTATTGTTGTCATAACAAGTTTCAGAATAGCACTGTCATTTGTTCTTTTTTGTGTAGGTCACAAAGTGTTTCTCCAGCCCAGGATGTGGACAAAGTTGAGAAGGCAATCCAGGAGCACTCAGAACCTCTATTAGATAGGACACAGGTAGTACAGTCGAGCTCACACCGCTGTTTGAACAATGCCTTTAGAGCTGCAAAACATAAAATACAAATAAATGGGTTTTTGGTAAGCATTATTTCCCCAAATAGTTTTTGGCTTTTTCTTTCTTTCTTGCATTGATTGTGTGGTTTTTGTTCTGTTTTTACTGTGGTTTTTTAAGTATCAGCTTGCAGCAAATACAGATATTCTGAGTGAAAAGCTATTGGATGATCTTTTGGAAGATACTGCTCAGGAACGGGGGACTGTGAAGCAGTATGAGAGACTCCAGACCGAGGCTCTGCCTGTGGCTGACACTCATAGCCTAGAGTCAATGTTGCAAAGAATGGAAGAAATTGAAGTAAGATTTTCTCTCTTGGCTGATCTCATTAGTACCAACTTCTTGTTTATTGTCCATAAATTGTAATGCACATTAAATGAAGCAACGTCTGACTGGATCAGTGTATGAAATGAAAGACTTGGAAGGAGTCTGCACTTCCAGAAAAACGTAATGTAAGCACAGAAGAATGTTTTCCCTAATGGTTTTATTGCTAGCTTTAGAGCTGGTAGACCTGAGTTTGCTTCCCACCTCTAGACTGTGGTTTTGATCATCATATGTGAAGGGGAGAATCAGTACAGCGATTATGTCAATTGTCTTATAGGTTTGAAAGTATGTGAGTGTTTATGAATTTGAGGGGTTATCCCTTTTTATTTCTTTTTGTGATAGAGGATTCTAGTAGCTTGAGCATCTCAAGGAAATATGCACTGGGAATCCAAAGTATTTTGCAGGACGAGATGGGGAAGTCAAACAAATACATGGTTATCTGTGCCTTACTTACCGACCTTTCTGTGTAAATATTCATGAGGTTATGATTTACTTGACTTGAACTTTCTTGGATATTGTGTTCTTAAAAATTTTTCTTTGATTAGTTATCCTATAATTTTTGATTCAAGTTCCATTTCAGTCCTCCTGCAGGATGACATTTATTGTATCTTAAAATTACTGAGTTTAGTGCCATTTACTTCCAGAGATCTATTCATAAGTTGGAAGCATGAAACTTGGATTGTGCGGTGTCCTTACCCTTATGAAGTAACTACATATTCAGCATACATTTGAATTCTCAATTGGTAAGACAGGAACAGTGTGAGGGCCCTTCTGTTGTTTGGCTAACTGCTGTTGATCTGAAATGGGAGGAGTTACTGTGGTGCTGGCAACTAATTGAGTCTTCAAGTATGGCATTTTGAACAAGGTGAATCACAGTCTGTGATTTCACCCCCTGCCCCGTTTCTGTGTACGTTATCTAGGCAAAATAAGCCTACTTTGACCAAGGAGGATCATCACCTGCCTTCTGTTAGGCAATAACTTGTACAGTGGAACTGCTAAGTATGTGCTGATTGATAAATTTGTATGTTCAAAATCAGAGATACCAGGAGGCCGTACGCAGGAGATTCACTCAGATTGTATACAGTGATTCAGAGCTTTTGGCCCAGGAAGACAGAATGAGTAAGTGTCTTTTTTTAATGCAACTTGGTTTTCCTGTAATCTGTATCTTTAATTTCAGATGGTTTGAAATAAAAGTCATTGGATTATGTGTGATCAAATAGCACTATCCAGACATTTTTTGCTGTTGGTGCTCCTTTCCTTATTTCTAAAATAGAGTTTTAAAATCCTTATTTTAAAGATGAAGGATCTCTTCTGAGAACAGGCTGCCATTTTCGACTTGCCTTTATTAGGGATGCATTTGGATGGAAAGCACTGCTAGTACAACTTAGCTGAAGGATAGGGACCTTTAACACATAATGTTGCCCCTTCCTTAGCTTAGACATCTTCTTTTCTACCAAAACATAAGTAGTGATTTTTGTGCAGGGAAGATGATATTCTGTAAATACGTACACTCCAATTCAAGCTACTTGAATTTACTGCAGAAGACAGCTAGGTTACTTTCTCAGTCTAAGGTATGCTAAAGCCACTTGATTTCTTGTTGACTTCTTCATGACTTGCCTGTCTTCAGCTTTGAGAAAGGGACTAGCAAATATGTAAATCTTGGTCTTGAAGATTATTTAGTGTGTTCTCATTTGACTTGATTCCTTTGAAACACAATTGCTTAGTAGTAATGATTTTCATGCTGATGAACTCAAAACTATTCTTTAAGGGTTCACAGGCTGGGGTAAGGTATAGTGAAACAGTCTCAGTTTTTTCCTGCTGTTGATTTGCTAATGCAGAAGCAAGCAAATAGTTATCTTCTAGTTTGCTTAGCCCATTTTCTTTCCTCTGTTTTAATGAACTATCAGGTTAGATGGCTTAGAGTTCAAAAGTGTTAGTGTAAATGTTAGTGTAGCAGTGAATCCCTGGCAGTTTATGTTTTTCTGGCAGTATACAGAAGATTATATTGAATTTTTCTCTTTAATTATTCCTTTCAAATGATGGTGATACTCTTTTTAGGTCTTGCAGCATACATACAAGTTTAATTTTTATAGCCTCAGAAAATCTGAATTTTTCTGTACAGAATTCATCATCCAATCAATACTTCAGTGCTTCAACAAGAAGTATTTAATAATTGAAAAAAACAGTTCCGATGACTCCAGTTCACATTAATTACATACTTCCTGGTTGTCTTTATTGGAGAGAAAATAAATAAGATAATTCAGTTTTTTAAAAGACTAAATGAAAGTCCTTCAGATAAAACATAATAAATTTTCACATCAGATTAAATTTTAGATTGAGAGACCTAATACTAGTAGGAAACTGTTCACTAAGGAAAAGCAGCATTCCAAACAATAGTTTGATGTTTCCGTATATAAGTGCACATAGGTTAATATTGTGTGCTGCAGTGGCATGCTAATACAGATGATTTAGGCTTGTTTTTCCCAGCTTTCTGCTCTGTTCTTTATCCTCCTGTGTGATGGAGTCCAGCAGTGAAGACAGGCTGATGCTCCAAGCTGAGTCTCTGATCACATGCTGATTTCCATGGGACTGTTTTACACCAGTCAGAAAATCTCACCATAAGACTGGTAAAGACTGAGCACAAATCTTGCTGGATTTTTTTTTCCGTGTCTTGGATTTACTTCCAGTCTTACTAGACTACACTAGTTCTGGAGTGGTATTTTCTATCTCTCCTCTAGAAGTATCCACTGACACAACAAACTATTTACGCCAAAGGTAGGATCTCTAAAATGCTCAGCTTTAATACACTGAGCTCTTGGAAATCCTATATTGAATTTACATTTTGGGTGCTGATACTTCTCTCAAGTACTTTCCCTTAAAGGAGCAAAAGTCTTTGTGAGGATTTATCTGCAGAAAATGTAGCTTTCTCTTCCAAAGAAACAATTTAAAATGTTATTTTATTCCTTCTAGGACAACAAATTGCATCAACTAAAAGACCTACATCTCCTCATCCAATTCAGATAACCAAATTAACTGGACACACGGAGCCAGAAATGGACATTTTATTTGAAAAACTTTCTGATGGCATGTAAGTAGAGTATTCAGCCCTACACTAAACTGTGGTGCATATGAGCTGCATGTTTCCATTACCGAAAATTATGGTTACCATTTGAAGAGATTTTGTGATCCTTCAGAAAGATACTTGAATATCTAGTTCATGACAGTTAGTGATTGTTTTATATTTTCAGTGATACTGATGAAAACGAAGAAGCAGAGGAGAAATTACAGAGTGGAAATGACATTCTGCAGTCCTTGACTCTGAATTCTTCGCAGAAGGAATGCTGTGTGTCTCTCTCTGTGCCACCACATATGCTCCAGAGCATCTTGGATTATAACTGCAGATACAAGCATCACTTAAAGCTTATTTCCCATGAGGCAGTAGGCAGTTTTAATCCATGGCAGATTGCTGAGAGGTAAATGAACTATCTTGTGGTTTTTAAGTTAATGTATCAGCTGATGAACAGGTTTTTCTGTCCTTATTCAGGAAAGGAATTAAATTCCAAATTAAATTGAAAGAAGCACTCGGTTATTGGATTGTTTCTCTACTGGTACTTGGTGTTCATGGGTTTTTAAGGTAGTTGGATAAAACAAAAATGTACAGGAGCAGAATATCTGGGAGGACTGATTATTTTTCACATCTTTCTATAGTGTTTACCACAAAAACAACTGTAAAATATAGGGTAACTTGAATCTTGCTGGTCCTGTTCTTTCACAACTGAAGAAATACTGGCACAACATCAGTAGGAATAGAGGGGCCATTAATTCCCTGCAGAGTGGAAATCAGCATACTTCTGACTATGGGAGAGAGAAGTGAAAGAAGAAAACTCTGTAATATTAAAAAAGAATTACAAAATCTAACTTCAGTGGTTTTAGGTGGGGTGGTTTGCCATAGCTGTCTGTACTGACAGATTGGACAGCAGGCTTAATTTCCAAGAGTTTTTAAGCTTCTGTACACATTTTTAATGTTGTAGTATTGAAATCAATAGCTCAGCTGAGAAATATTTGCCATCTGCATCAGTGTTTCCAGGAACAGATCCTGCAATATTTATGACTTGCATGTGTGAAGTTAATCATGTGTGTTGATGGTTCCCCTGACTGTAGATAAGTAGGGAAATGTTTTAATAACTGTGCTTAGACCACTTGTGTGAATCTACTGAACTAAACCACTGAAAAAAGCCTTGTCAGTTCTCAGTGTTGTCATTCTGCCTTCTGAATTGTCCTCCTGTTCATACTTGGTGTAAGGCTGGGTAGTTCAAGGACTGGCATCTCCTTGGGACTGGCAGATGAATTAAATAGTGGTGACTCTCTCCTGGCAGCTGAATTTCACTGCTGCCATTTGCCTGATACATGTTACTTGAAATCATACAAATTTGATATCCAGCACGCCTCATTAACTTATGCTTACCACCAGAGGGCATTATACATCCTTTTATGTAAAATAGGATCACACAATGTTTAAAATAAACCTCCCCATGCTGTGCACGCTTAAAAGGTCTAAAGGCTAACTTTATGATATTCCAGAATATATGAAAAACTGAAAAGAAGTTTTCCAGGAGCCAGCAATCGTGTTCTTCTGCTAAAATAGTTTTCTGTAACATCTGCTGTGGTCCAAAGATAACTGAAAACTGAATTTTCCTCATCTCACTTGTCCTTAAACTTTACTGCTCTCAGTAAGGTCTGGTTCAGTGGCAGCTAAAATGAATAAGAAGCTTCCTGTTTACTTCATTGGCCTTTGGATGAGCCCATAGTATGTTAAATTTTATTCCCAAAGCAGGATTAGTGTCTAAGTGTTTGAAAAAATGAAGCAACTTACATCTCTCAACACTTAACCCTAAAGAATTTCCTTTGCTGTGAGTCTCACTGAGGAGAGAATTTCTGTTATCTTATACAAGACATATCAGATCTTTTCTTGGGCTCAGCAGTGGAAAGAATGAAAAAACATGAGTATTTGCCTTTTAAAATCAGGGCGTTAATATCCATGGAATGAATGACTGGAATTTGAAATCTGACTTTCTGAACATTTCCCTTTCTTTTGTTCCCTGCCTCTCCCTCAGTCTTGCAGAGCAGCTGACAGAAGAAGCACTATGTGATGTGGCAGCAGAGCTGCAGGATGTCTGTGAGGATTATGCAGAAGCTGTGTTCACATCAGAGTTTTTGCAGCCAGTGCAGTAAATGCTTTCAAATATGTCCCATTATCAAATGCAATGTCAGCCTCAGTCTAACAGTCTTATCAGATGATGTAACTTTTCTTTTCCTGTTTTTATTTTTTTTCAAGTCTGTGAGATTCTATTCACCAAATGAATTAAGTCTGTCAAGGATTCGTCTCAGGATTTTACAGAATATTTTAATGTTTCCCTTTTCAGACTTCATTGTATTGCATTTATCAGGATTTTTTTTTTTTAAGCCAGTGTTTCAACAGAATGAAGTAAACTGTTACAGGTAAAGTTTATATATTTTGATAGAAATACCATTTTTTTTCATAAACTAGTCTAAAATATTGTAATTTTAGCAGCATTTACTGATCCAACCTCATGTTCCTGACTCTTAATAATCCCCCTGAAATCAAGAACAACAAAATTAACAGCTAGCATTTCTGCAATACTGAATTAATTGGTTTGTTTCCAGTAATCAGTGTACTAGTTTGGGTTATGTCCAGAGTGAGCAATAATTAATAATTGTTTATGGTAGTATTGTAGATGCAAATTCAACCCTTAATGTAACCCATCTGACAGTCGGTTTCCTTTGACAAGTTTCTGTTCTCCAATACTGTTCAACCTGTAACAGAACCATTTTTAACCTACAGTTATTTTCATTTCCTCTGATTAGAACATTTAACAAATAATTCTGTTTTTATTGAAGCCTGGTTTACTGTTTTGTTTGTTTTGAAGTTTACACCAAATGTAATGATGTAAATGTGACTGCTGATGTGACTGCTGATGTCTGATTTCTGTAATTTAAAACACTATCTTTTTTATTTTTAAGGTTAGAATGCTAAACCTGTTCTTAAGTCTAAAATATTAAAGCCATAGTGTCTCTATATATGTGTATATATGCTTGTGAACCTATTTTCAAGATATTTTATTTTTTAATAAACAATAATTGTTCCTTAGCTGAATATAGTTTTAATTTAAGATAACTTCCATCTGAACCCATTTGGAATAATCAGCACCCAATACGCAAGGCAGTACCCAGCAAAATTAGAAGAATCAGACTACCATAAACCTTGAAGGAACATGGTCATCTGTCAAGGTAAACATGCTTTCTCTCTTAAATCCCATGGTGCCGTGAGTGGTATCCGCTGAATGATGCCAGAGTGAACTTCTGTTCTGGATGAGAATTATGTGGCATTTGGGTGCTACCTTGGAGCAGAAATGTTGGGAGAGTGAAGCCTTTAGGTAGGATCCCTGACACTCACTCCTCAGTGCTTCCTAAGGAATTTAACTGAGTGATTTTATAATGCATTATTTACACACACAAGCTAGACAATTACAAAGTTTCTACCCTGAAAAATTGCATAATTGTAGGGCTTCATCTTAAAATGATTCTGCATGTCATTGTTCCTAAGGGACAAGCTGGCATCAAGCTGGATAACATTATACAGGTACATAATTCTTGTCAGTGTGTTGATAGAAACCCTGTGTGGGGCTGAAATGTGCAACCACAATAGCACTGCAGTTGTTAATACGACTGCAGTCATATATAGCTGAAGTAAAATTAAAGTTTAAAGATGTGTTTGGGGTGATTTAGGTAATGACTTGTACAAGCATATCAAAGCAGTTTGGTGCAAGGGCAGTGCCATGCCCTGGGTACACTGACAGGCATTAGTTGCCCTGACTGGCCTACCTGGGACCTCTGCCCATGGCTGGCAGCCCCCCCTGTAGCCATGCAAGCCCTCAGCCCTTGATGGAGCTGTACAACAGGGACAGCCATATCCCCCTCTGCCCATTACCCTTCCAGCCTCACACCCTGGGCTTCAGCTCGTTGCCTTGTGTGGTCTGGTGGTGCCTGAGACGTCTGTGTCTTGTGACTGTCACCGCCGCCTTGCTCAGGTACTGTGGGACTGCCCTGCGGCTGCAGTCACTTCCCAGCCAGGCTGCTCCCCCCTGGGGCAGCATTCCTGACAGACAATAGGTGTGTAGCATGGAGTGAGGGGTGACTCTGGAAATCCCCTGTGAGGTCCCTGAAGACAGGGCTGCACATCTGCATTCTACAAGCAGCTCCTGAAAACATGCAATCTACTCTGTAAATATTTGACTGTAGAAATTAAATCGGTGTTCTTCTGGGAGTGAGGTAGTTATGGCAACAGTGTTTGTTCTACCAGTGCTTTGGAGTGCTACTTTTTCTACTAATGCTGGATCTAATTCAACTTCCACTAATGTCAATGTAAGAGCATAATTGAATTCTTTTTTTCTCTTTGGCTTGCTTTGATTACTCCTGGAGGCTAACTTTCTGCACATCCTGCTTCTCTATGGACTACTACCCTTCCAGGAAAAAGGTGGAGGATTGGGGGCTTTTGTTTGGTTTTGGTGGTTTTGTTTGTTGTTTGTTTTGAGTTTGGGTTTTGGTTTGTGTTTTTTTTTTTTATTTGAGAACTCATTTACCAGCAATAGGAAATGGTTCTCTGTTCATGATGTGCATGTCAATCAGTTATCAGCCAAACATCTGCTTCAGTAGATCCACTCAGGGGTGTCCTGGAAGAACTTAATAGTTTTCAAGTATATTTTTCCTCAGAAGACCCTACATTCTCTGTTTCAATCTTGTTTCTCGTAACCCTATTATATAAACGTGACCTTGAGCAGCCTGCGTGGTTGGGAGTGGATGCAGGCCTGGTCTGAAAGGGCTGGATCAGTGTATAGCAGAGGACTAAACCTGCAGGAGTGAAAGCTGAAGGATGCTCTAGCCTGGCAAGCACTTTCATTTATCTCAACCTAGTAATTGTGTAATGTAAATTGGGCTTTATTACTTGTGGGAGAATTAATCAGGAGCTGGGAGAGGAGTAGGAAGGGTGGATATCCTGTAGATTTTCTGCAGAAATACTTTCTCTGGCCCATGCTAACTGATTAGATTCCCTCTCTTGTTGCCTCTTTTTAGAAAGGTTTTGGTGTCCTGTTTGTGCATGTGTCAGAGATTAGGAAACAAGTTTTAATAGGCTTGAAGGCAAGGAAAGTCTCTTAACTTGGATAATTTTCTGAGTGAACTGGCTGTCAATAGATTCCCCACTCAACAGCCCTTCATTATCCCCATAGCTGAAGTCCTTCAGCAGGGGCCTGTGTGGGATTAGTAACTGTATGATCCCTCTGCAGGCTGAGTTTGGACTAGAAACCAAACGGCAGCAACAGAGCACTGCTGTTCTGTGGCTGCCACCTTAAAAGGTGCCGTGGCCAGGAGGAAAGATGTTTGCCCCATCTGCTGCCCTCTGTGCCGCAGCAGCAGCTTTGAGCTTAGGAGGTCTGTGGGCTAACACAGCAAAAGGCTGGTCTGCTGGCCCAACTGAAGACTGCTGTGAGGTCATCAATAACATGGCACTGCCAGTTGGGCACCAACTGCTCTTTGTACGGTAAACCCTGTGAGGGTACCTAGGAGGGACTGTTGTCTTATGTTGTGCTCACTTCGCTCTCAGGGCACATGTCTTGGCTGTTTATACCTGACATGTCCCATAGTGTTTCTCTGGGTGGGCAGGTTATTTTAAAGTAGACTAAGTGCAATGAAAAAAGGAGGGTGTTGGAAATTGTAGTGAGCTTGACAAGGAAAACCAGTGTCCCGTTAGTCTGTCCTGCCTGCTGACAGCTGAAAGGAAAACTAGTTTCTGGTAACATATCCTAACTCTGTTATGCTGATGTCTTTTTAATATTGTTTTTCATTAAATCTTGATTTATATTGATAGTAAAGAGCTACCTCAAGCTATTCAAGATGCCTTTGAAGTTTACTATTGAAATGAAAGCAGTGCTTGATCAGTTATCAGTTACAGCAGGCTAAAGTTTTATTCTGTAATGTACTTGTCTCTGAGCAAGTGACAGGCTGTGAAGTTATCTTGATCAAGCCAAATGCAGACCAAGAGAACAATCAGTGTTGATGAAGTCTTCGGCAGAAAATGCTGAATTTTTTAAAATTAAATTGCAATTCTTTTTCTGTTACCACCCCTTTTGTCTTCAGGGAAATTTTGCTCAGCTTTCTAATGAGCAGAACAAAAGCTTGAGACATCTTACTTGCATCTGCTTGATAGAAATTAAGCAATCCCAAATTTCAGCAGGCTTTAGCCTCCCTTGGGAATCTGAGTCTCATTTACTTATTGCACTGATTTAATTTTTTGTTTGGCTATTCCTTTCCTTTGAAGAGTTATAGAATCATAGAATGGTTTGG